TGGGGATGTGACTCAAACCAAGACAAGTATAGTGATACCAATTTGTACAACTATCACAGCCAATCCAAATGTCTTCATCATTTACATATAAACAACATTCCTGGCAACATTCCTCATTATTAGACAGAATAGTAGATTTACTTCTGGCCAATAAGCTCTTCCTTTTATGGTGACTGTGGGATATGCATCTAGCAAGTTTCGTAACTGATACAAATCTCTTTCTCATCGTTCCTTCCTTTTTCTGCTGCGCTTGTTTCACTTGCTGCTCCTCTCTTTTTCTCTGCTGCTCTTCCTCTGCTGCTCTTCCTTCTTCTGCTGCTCTTCTTTCTTCTCTGCCCTCATTTTCAGTTGCACCTCCCTATTTCTCTGTTGCTCCGTCCTCTTTCTCTGTTGCTCCTCCTTTTCTTCATTTGCTCCTCCTGCCTTTTCTTCTCTTCATCTTCATCAGCTAGTCGAGTATATAACTCATCTGTTGTGAGAGCTTCACCGTAAAAATTAGGCTTAGCCATGCGCTTTTCTACAGGTACTGGGTTGTGATTTTGTTGCAAGATTTTAGCAAAATATCCCTTTAGTTCTAAACAAATACCGTATAGCTTGAAATTTTCGTGGAACGAATTTTTCGTGGTTGGCTGATTTCAAGAAATTCGTGTTTTTAATTTTGTGCAAATGCTGGTAGTATTATTAATCAATTAATATTCATTAGTCAATAATTAATAATAATGGTTATTAATTAAAATTATTATATTAAGTATCACATGGTTAAACATTTTCGAAGTGATGGCTATGATTTGTGGATACCACTGTTATAAGGACATCTGGGTCCCTGTTATTGGCGAAGAGCTACAGACAAAGAGAGAATCAGGGAATGTCCACGACACTTACGCTGTTTCCGTCTTAAGAAACGGAGAAACAGTTGGCCACGTTCCAAAGATCTCTTCCGTGTGCTCGTTATTCCTACGACGAGGTGTAATCACCTATATAGTAAGTGGTGCCAGACGTTACTCTGCTAATTTAAAGCAAGGTGGCCTTAAAGTTCCTTGTGGAATAAGGTTCGACAACATGAAGGATGATGACTGCAATAAGAACCTCCTGGCGAAAATTGACAAGGACTATCTGAATAAGGTAGAAAAGCTTGTGAAATCAGCTATGATATTTACGTGTCCAGCAGCTGGTGCTATAAAACCAACTGATGGCTCTCCATGTAGCAGTAAGACTACCACCGACAGGACAAAAAGTCCGGAAGTGGCCGCTAAAAGAAGGAAATTAAGCCATGACAATGAAAGTGATGATGTTGTTGTTACTAAAGTCACTGTAAGAAAGGCACCAACAATCTAAAGGGTGATACCTAGTGTTGTCTGGGCTGAGGACAAAATCAAAAACGGAAAGATGTTGACAGATGTTTCGATTTCTATGGCATCGGATATGATTAAGCGTCAGTTTGAATATCGATCTTTTAATGGCTTAAAACCAACTATGGATCAATATCACAAACAACCTACTGACCTTGAGAGCATTAGAAATAAACTTTAGATCATACATTGCCGGGAACGTACCCATTGGATTGCAGCATCTAACATTGGTTGCCAGGATTGTTGCAGTGTGGATGTTTATGACTCCATTTTCACTTCCCTAGACCCGAGTACTATAGAAGTTATTAAGAACCACTTTCCTGACCATAGTATTAATATTAAGCCTTTTCAACAAGTCTGTCACCATTCCCATGTACTGGTGATTAAAGATTAATTGACTATTAACAATAATAATAATAGCATAATAATAATAATAATAATAATAATAATAATAATAATAATGCTAATAATAATAATAACAATAATAACAATAATAATAATAATAACAAAAATAATAAAATAATAATAACAATAATTAGTCAATGAAGTCCGAACTCTCCTTGCCTAATGATCCCAGAACAGATATCATATTGCTCTTTTGTATAGCGACAGATAGACGTTGCATAAGATAGTTATATGAGTGAGGGTCACCTGAATGTAACATAATCCTCCTACCAAGTTCTTTTAAAAAACGACTTGATTTCGGGCCTACAGCACCCATAGTTTCAATAGAGAGAGGAGTGAAGAGATAGGAAGGAGAGAGATGGGAATATTTAGTTATTTTACGTTCCTCAGCTAAAGCAGCCGCAGATCCACCAGCAGTAGCAGCCATCGTCACATACGACGGAGCCAGAGTATCAGGGCAAGTGAAGTCCCAGCACATACATTTACCAACTTTCCAGGGGACCAAAGTCACTCCATCTGGTCGTCTGCTTTCTGCACCAATAAGTCCTGAGGGTTCTAATCTGGATGGAATACCAGCGGCTGTAAAAGCACGCCGTAGGATATCGTTGATTGATGAATGACGATGAAGCCTACCATCGCTCCGCTTGCAGTGTAGACCATGCGTAGCAAGATCATCCACTGCTGAGCCACAATGATGACAGGAGTGAGGACAGCCAAGGGGAAGCCCCAGTCTGAGACCCACAGCAATCCGAATGGTGGCATCATCCATCCGCAGACCCATGGCCGACAGGGGGAGGGCATTCAGCCACGCACCAGACTCAGGAGTTGATACAGCGTATAAACGGGCCTTTGTTGGTGCATGATCTGTCTCCAGGAGTGAGTCCAAGGTGGATTTGATATGAGGCAAATCCCACACTCTCTGCAAACGAGCATCGTCTCCCACAGGTGGAGTAAGAGAGTCAGACCAGTGAGCATAATACAATTAAATTATTAATATTACACTGTTGTGACAATTTATTAAGAAAAAAGCTCCGTTGTAATGCCTGCACTTTTGAAACCATTTTTGATAATGTCTTGTTTTGATACTAGATAATCATAAAGGTTAACAAACCATTTAGCTGCAATGGGTTATACTGAGACGTAGATCAACAGGTTCCTTTACCAGTATGTCATCACTCATTTGCTTTTGAATCTGCTCTGCATACCATTTATGGAACTTATCACGAAGAAAATCTTTAGCTGCTTTGTTGACACTTACATCAAGCGGTTGTAGCCTGTCGGTACAATTAGCTGGTACAGTAACTATGTCAATGTCATTTTCTTCTAAAAGGGCTAGTATAGCTGGAGTACATTGTGCTCTAAATTTATTATAGATCACCAATGCCCGATGTCGAACACTTAACCCAAGTTGCTGTCTCTTTTCAGAAAGATAGGGCACAAGAATCTTTATAATATAATCCTTCATTGTCTCCTCGTTATACCAATGGTTAGGTGAATGTGTTACATGCCAATCATCAGGGAATCTGTAAGAAGGATGACATTGGCTGGTTTTCCCTTGATACACCAATTGTACTGGTAAAAACTCGCCAGTCATGGAGCAGCCAAAAACAGCAGTGATCTGCCTTTTATCATCTAGACCAGTTATTTCAACTCTTTTCAACCCTTCTATTGCCATCGTTCAGGAAGAAACAGGGACGTAGTGTACACAGGTCTGGTCCCAGTTGACTATGAGGTCTAAAGGTATATCTTCCAAGACCACAACTGCCCTAATGTCAAGTAGGAATTGTTCCTTATTCACGAAAAAATCATCAATTGACACTTTTGCCTTTGTACTAGCCTTTCGCTTGACAAAACCCATACGAACAAGAAGACGTTTCGCCCAGTACTTCGTGATTAAAATGTGACCACCATTTGAAGCCAACAAATTGGAATCAGTGTTTCGTACAATTCCTTCTGCACACCCAACAACAATCGATGTGTTGACTACTGCTCCTCTCTCCCTAAGGAATAATAGATACTCCTGCACCTGCTTGTCGAATTCTTCACCCAGTAGCAGTGGACGACCTCTTCTTTTCCCAGTGAAATGAGTGACCTTGATCTCGCCAGATTTCGTTATGTCTACTGATGCTGCAGTCCGTTTCTTCTTCAACTCCTTTAAGTACAAATCTCTACAATCTCTAACAGTGTTCTCTTTTTGGCAAGGGAAATTTTTGATAAAATGACGAACAGCTGCCACAACACCACATTCTGCTGCTCTCTTGTCAATCACAGCTTTCTGCTCTGGAGAGAACTTCGAGTATGGGCCTCGCTTCTGTTTGGTGCCCTGTTCCATGAGTAGTCTAAACTCGTTAGCAGCGGCAATAGAAGACGAAGGGATGACTTTAGACAAAAAAGATTTTGGATTGGGTCGTACATCTTTCTTTTCAAAGTATCAGTACAGAGACATGATGGTGGACGTGGATGATAACACGAGTACTCGAACTTCGAACGTATGCTGTAACCACGCCTTATAGCTTAATTAACGTGGCCACGTGGGTGGATAATCCTTAATAATTAAAAATTGTGTTTTTAATTTCGTTTTTTTATGCAGACCATGAAAACCACGAAATTTACATTCCACAAAAATGTCAAGCTATATGGTAGGAGTAACTTCATAATGCATAGTACTACACCCAACAAGGTCAACAGCTACACATTCTTCAGTACTGTTCTGTGCATGATCGTTTGATTCTGTTGTAAATGGCAGTGCTTTATCACATTTAAGCTGAGAGATAACTCCTTTATTAAATGGGCATAGGCCTGCTTTCTTAAAACCACCTTTAATATGGTCAGGAGAATAGGAAATTTTAAGTAAGCTTGACAGTAGAATTGGAAACTCTTTGTGACATTTGCAGCACATGTAGCAATTTGATACTTTTTCATTACAATATGCCAAGCGGACTTCATTAGCCCAAAGACGCCTAAGTCAAAGGTTAAAGGATGTGAGTTGTATGTGGTGGAAAGCATATTAAATGATTATTATTGATTCTAGCCGCTTTCACTAAACGGAGACTGATGTAAAAATGATGCCCATCGAAGAAGAGTACAACTGGGGCATCTGTAGTCAGAGGCTGTAAGCTGGAACAAATAATTTTTAAAACCATTGAAGGAAGTTATCTGATTCTATCCAACAACTGTTAGATACTGCATACAATCCACCAGCTGGACCTACTCTTGTCCATTGACTCCATAAATATTTCACCTTGTAAATGATGTATGGTGGCAACTGAGTGCCACTAGCACATGCTGCTCCAAGTATGGTTATATACTCCTTCCACTACCACCAATCGTTTCATGTACTTCTCTTTCTCCTCTCTTAGATAAAATTCTCTTACTAGTAGCAGACAGGCAGAATCCTGTTTCATCACAATTACAAATTCGTTTTTCAAATTCTTCCTTGGTTAACGCACTTAATCCCGTCATGTCAAAAAGCTTTTCTACTTTGTCATGCCATTCATGTATTGCTTCACTGGATGATTCAACAGCACGTTGTGTTGGCAAATGCCTTTGTTTTTGAAGGCTCAGCTCTTTTGTCCAACAACTCATAAAAAGACTGTACCAGTCAGGGCCGGGAGAACCTTTTTTGAAGGGGGTTACTCCGTCAGGCTGGTCAGCAAGGTAATTATGAATTACAACACTAGCTAAATCACGAGTTAAACCAAAGCCAATTTCCTGTAATGCTTGTAAAGCAGCAACTATGTGCTTCTCCTCAGATTCAGAAAACACAGTTGGGTGACCTGATTTTACTTTTAACGATGGTCATGGAGGGTGGAACATGGGACGTTGAACTTTTTTGACGCAGTCAAAATCTTAATTTTCTCCTCTCTAACCACTCGAATAGCATTTTGGATGTCTTCTCTTGTGTTAACAGAAGCCTTTTTCCTCGTGTAATGCCTGACCGTGTGCTATCTTAGTTGTTAAATCCAGCTACACCTCTAAAATGGAGGTGCGCGTAATTGCAACGGTTGAAAAATTTTAAAATCCAGTAAATGCTTAGTAATTGAAAAGCTAACATGCAAAAATACCTTTGTAAGCAATATTTCTTACTGTCTATCACAATTTGCACTTTTAGAAACGCTATAAGAACTTTTGATGATCATTTGAATGCAGACCTCTTGTTGTTTATATTATTTTTATTTATTTATAACTTTATTTTATGTAGTTAAAAATATTGAAGGCTTAATTAATAATCAATTGACTCATACATGAAATTTCAAAATGAAATGTTGCTTGATGCCCATGTAAAAAAAATTTTTGTGAAAAAGTGACGAGATTCCCTCACTGCTGGAAATGCCCCACCTTACATTATACATTCTATCATTATCAAAATTGTCATCTTCAAATTCACTACATCATTACCTTGTTCTCTATCAATGCATGACACAAACATATCAAAATTGTCATCTTCAGATTCACTATCATCATTACATTCTTCTACTCTATCAATGCATGACACATCAACAATCCATGCTACATAACTGGTGCCATTTGTATCAACAGGGATTGCAATTGGACTACCGGTATCTAATTGGCTATCAGAATTATCATTAGGATACAATTATGCTGATTCATAAAAATAAAGCTAACTCTTCTTTGTGTGATATAGCTCACCAAAATCACTAAAACAATTCAACTGTAATTTTCTAATGCTATTTGCTACATGTATCAATACGCCTACTTTGTGGGATCTGTTTTTTAAAACTGATTCTAACAATATACTTGATGCAGCATTATTTTTACTGTCATATGATGAGTTCTCAAAATCTACACTTTTCATACTTAATGGCAATAAATCATTAACTATTTCAGGGCTGTAATATAATGCTTCAATAATTTTAGTAAAATAATATTACTTTGCTTCACAATAATTACGACCATAATAATCTTCATTTTAGACGCTTCTTATTTTCTTTATTTAGTGCCATGTTTAATTTATCCAATTCGTTATTAGAAAATTTATATCCTAAAAATTTATCCTTCGTTGCACTTAATATTATTGCATCTCTATTTTCATAATACTGTTTTAAGGAGTTTCGTTTTTGTGGACCTGGATTTTGTAGATGTATTTTAGAATTTTTTATTTAAGGTGTTTTGTGAATACATTTTTTGCAAATAATGTTAAGATTTTGTAAGCTTGATAATTTTGTTTTTGTCATACCAATTTTTACATTTTTGCAATATATCACCTTGGTTCAATGCATGAAACTGTTTTGAATAAGCAAGCTTATATTTTCTACTGATTTAATATGCAATTCTTACTCTGCTTTTGACCCTGTTACATTGTCTTATGTAGTATGCTCTGGAGTTTGATCTATTCTTAGCAATGAAACCATCAATTTGCTTTCTATTTTCATATTGTCTCTTCTTTTTCCTTTAGATTTGGCCCCAGTTAAATTACTTTTCATTTTCATTTTCTACTTCCCTTTCTTACAACTAACACTGCAACAATTATATTTACGACTAAAACTACAAACAAGTACAATAACATTAAGTATGGAAAAAACATGTAGGTACTAAAATCGGTACTACAGATAAATATCATTGTAAACACAACACTTATCTTATTTATCCAATAAGGTACTAACAGTACTATCTAGATACTATATATGAAGTGCCGCTGACAAAATTTCTTCAAATAACAGAGCAGCTAAATTTAAAATCACTCTAATTTCAGGAAGAATTAACATTTTTTTACCTTATTTTACTTACTTATTAATGTAGCTCTTAATAGAACTGGTGATCTCTTACTGTGCGCACTCTTTACTAGCAAGTAGAAGAAGAGAATGAATAGAGCAAAACTTAGTGGTACTGTGCTATAGAAGAGTAGACCGGCAGTCAGACTAGTCACTATGGCAACTCTATGCATGCTCAAAAATTTTAAAATGGCGACTGAAATAAGGTTGTTACATCATGCCCATTATTACTTCATATTTGGCCAAGAAATAATTTAAGATTCTGAAACACTTTGTAGCTCTTGTTCAAAGAGTAAAGGGAATGGTGTAAAAGCCAGCCAAAGCAGTCTACTGGCTTAAAAGATTAGAGGGCCAAAAGATGAAGATGAAAGAAGAAAAAGTCTGAAGAATTATGCAGAAATGTGAATTTGGGCCTATTCTCTAGAAATGCTCCCACTACATTACAGTCCACTTTAAAGGAACCAGGAGAATTGCTCAGTAATAAACAGCTCAGATAAGCCATTTATGAGATTTTATATGGTAAGATAAGAGTTAGATGTGATTGAAAATGATAAATTTGGCCGCCATCTCAAAAAATCAACTTCAACTCTACATATAGGCTACCGCCTATATAATAAACACATTTTTGTCAAATAACTCGCAAGACCAAGAGGTGATATTTTCTCTGCTATTATTTCTGGGGACAAACAGTCTTCAGTTCTTGCCACAAGTGGAGCAGTTCTTAAAGTCCTTCCTGATTTTGTTTCAGGCAAATCCAAAATCACGTACAAAAGCTTTCCAATCCTTATCAAGCAATACATTACTATTGCAAAATTGTTATGTTGTACAAATAATGTCAAGTGGACTAACAATTTAATATCGTGGTAAATAGTTGGTGGCAATTGTAAGTAAGCTACTCCTCTAATGACATCTTGAATGAATGAGATTCCGGTTTGCTTAGTCAATTGAGCCTATATGGAAAAAAATAATTCAATAGCATATTAGTAACTGCACATAAATGAATCCACGAATAAAGAGTTTCCTTTCTCATGTAACAATAAATTAATGGCTTCAGCTTCGGAGAGAAGAAATATCCCATTACGTATAATATATTAGAGTGAAGAAACATAAAAAAAATTTATAGTTTTAACAATAATTGTTCAAATGTTTCGTATGCGCCTTCAACTTGTTCTAATTTGTCTGTGTGCAAAACCTCCCTTTATAAGTGCAATAGTAACTTCCTATGACATCAGCAATAAATACATATAAATAACTTTTTGCTTCAGTAAGAACTATAACTGCATCTTTAGTACCAATACTACACAAGTCATTTGCTAGATAGACAGCACCATATCCTCCACTTGCAATTGTGTTTAATTTATTGAAATGATTCGTAGATGTCACTAATTCTTCCATTAAAAACCCCAAGGAATTAACTGTATCAAATTAATACCGTCTATAAAAACATTTTGTTGAACTGGAAGGTGAAGGAATAGAAAAAAGCTTACAAGATGGTGCATCAGACTGAGGAGAAACAGCCTGTTGTGTGAGATTACATACATACCAGTTTCTGCTAAAGCATAATTTTTAAATACAACAGTACTGTATATACCATAAATAATTGGCAGATAAGTAAAATCAAAATGCACTGTCCCATGCACTGTCCCACAAAGATCACCATTGACATAAACAGAACACTTGTACAAAAATGGATCAGCTGCATAAGTAAGTGGAGTCAAAGCAAATTCCATTTTCTTATTGAAATACTTCCATTCATAAGTGCAATTTGGATACCTTTTAGGCAATGCAACAATTGGAATCAGACTTTTGGAGGTAAAAATAGGATTAATACAGCTAACAAAAGAAAACTGCAATGTTCCTATGTTGAAAAATGTATTACAATAGTACACATTCGTATTCACATAAACTAACCTCATTTAAAACATGGTGATGTACAATATGTGGTGTCAGGTTGTAAAATTGCCTCTAGGGTTTCACAGTTATCTGTTTCAAAACAATCATATAAAAAACCCAATGAAACAAATCACATTTTTGTCCATTCCACCTTCAATTGCATTAATTTCCTTCCATACATCAGCACTGGAGAATGGAAGTACACTATTCTCCGTAAGGTATAGAACATAATTGCATTAAATGAGAATGTAAAACTACGAATAACGTTAACACTCAAGGTGTCTCCATCAAGTGTTTTAAAAGGGAAAGATACTGAAACCAAAGCATGCATGTAACACAAATACAATAATTGTATGTATACCTTCAACTTCAGCATTTGCTTCTGTCACTTCCACACCACTATCCACAATACAATGTCCTTAAATTTTTTTTTAAAACGATTAATTTTTATTTCACTTTTAGATTTCTTAGCTTATGGCTCTACAAATTGATCATTTATGACTCCAATTCTCGTTGTGAATTTGTAAGGAGATGAATGTCTTTTAAGAAAAATTGCAAAAGAGTCCAGTCAACTTGGAGAGATTTGCGTTCATCAGCAATAATTGCTCATTTGGTATGAAAATAATAACCTCATGCCCCTTAATTCCTCCATTCTGATAGTTTCACAAATCTTACAAAAGACTAAATCATATGAATCAGATATCTTTAATTCAACATCGTAAAGTGGAGATGATTTAAAATGTCCTTTTTGCCCTCGTTCCATTTGACAACAACTGACCTAAGTAGCAACCACCTATAAACAGA